CACTCTTTCCCTTTATCTACTCCTGATACTACTGTACGTGCCATTCACATAGAGTCATGGATCTATAAGCCATATTGGAAAGTCCCCGTCGCCATATTGAGATCAGATAAGAGGGGGTATAAACTGCCCTTTTATAACATGGGTAGGATAGGACTATTCTAGGTTTATGATCTATAATTCTCTTCACTAACATCATACTTCAATTCACCGGTGCATTTCTGTTTACATAAACATTTACAAATATGATTGTGGTCGTTTGGGATATTTTGCAATGGTTATGTTAATGCAAAAACTAAAAACGCACGAGTGTTTACATTAATCATGTTCTTTAATTCTTAAGCGCGCCTCGGCCATTTTATATCCTCTTTTCTGTGACCTACATAGCACAGCTGGACTTTCCGATCTCAATTACTGCAATGTAGTTTAACTTACAGTAGTCATCTACAATGTCTGGTGCATCTAGAATTCTCTCTGGAACCTGAGGTATGTGTCGGGTCGTCTTTCGGCTGGAACCGGGCGTCTTGCTGCAACTGTAGAGCACTTTCAAGTTGTTCTGGTGACCTGCATGCAATCGATGAGTCATCAACACTGAGCACCATTCACGTTTTGACGTAGCAACATTGGGCTGCGATACAATTACATCAGGGCCAATCCTATTGCCTGCGAGGTGGCTTGACTATTGTAGATACTATTACGTGGCCAATAGCAAACTGCCCATGATTAACTGCCAAGAACAAAAACAGAACGTGATTTCGTCCCCCCCACCCGCGCCCCACAGTCAAAATGTGACAGCGATGCCCAGAGATATAACACCAATGACTCATAATCAAATCATGCGACCGACGTGTTGACGAATCACCTTCTGGGGCCGATGGAGGTCTACTCCTGTAAGCAACGATCCTGGCGCTCACATCCATGCCTCCATTCAGATTCTCGCTCATCGCTCGCTGAAACTCTCTCTTCGTTGGACTCAGCGCCTCTGCATCTGCTACGGTGATTACACATTCAAGCCAGCATATCAGCAAAATATAGCATGCTCATGCTACTCCCCCATTTCACTTGACAATTGACATGAGTGTCTTTACTTATCAATCTCGATCAATTTACCTACATTTACCTTACCTTTATTATATAATAGGTTATTAAGGTTGAAGTCATTTAAATTTGCATGATTTATTTGTGACAAAATTAATATGTAAATAAATAAAAATAATACGAAATAAATAACCTGATGTATGAGTGTGGAAGCACGTGTCTACCTATGCATCATTATACCTTTATCTTCCTCTTTATTATTCGCAATCAGATAGTGAGCAAGTTCATATTGTGTAGCACTGCGGTTAGGGATGAATCTGTCGTGGAGACCACTTGGGGTCTTTTTGGGCGTTTTTGACTTTCCTGTTGAAGATTAAAATAAAAATCATTGCAGTGGTAGATACGATACATGTACTCCGATGTCGTCTGCATGCCACTTTCTGTGAAAAGGTGACACATTTGTGAGTCGATCTTATAAGTTATTCTAACATGTGACGAAATATGGAGCACGATGTTGGAATTTACCCATGAAAGCTCAACAGGAACACCACTCCAATATTTTTAATTATGTTGATCATGACATTACATATTCGTTTGCAAAGACCAATTGCGACGACCAACGTACTTTAAAACATCTCAGCAGGACAACCTGATCATACCTGGAGTCTTTTTACTGGCGGACATTGGACTTCGACTGTTCCTTTTATCACTGGGAGTTTTGTTCACTGACATGTTGGCACTATACGACATATTTCCTTTCAGTGGTGTCTTGCTCGTCATGCTGATGTTCTTGCTTGCATTTAGTGACATGTTCACATTGCTACAGGTGGCCTATTACAATACAAAGACATATGAGTGCATTCAAGGTCAATGCATTTTTTTAATCATAAATACACATAAATAATCACTGTAAGTTGTAGTTTTATATTTGTCACGTAAAGTGTATAGAAATGCGTATAGTGCCAAGCGGTGTGTTATGTCAGTGATGTCATTTTTGATGGATGTCGACTCTAGGCCTAGGGCTAGGGTCTACTTGGTTGAGTAGTGAATGTATACCTCTTGTACTTTTCTTTGCCAGCGTGGTGCTGGACCTTTCGTGATAGGCTGATCCAACAGCTGTAAATTGCTGATCTGATTTTCTAAATTGAAGTGCGACATCCCTGAGTTTGTCACGGTGCTATATTATATAATAGACCAGTATCAGTATGTTGTCAGGCGGTTGATGACTCAGTCTCAGATTCGAACGGAGTAACCTATGACAAGAAATAACATGTAAGAAGAATGAGAAGGCCTACGTACACGGTACAGTACAGGATTAAGTCACGCGGCCAAACGAATAACAACTTACAACTGCAACAAACAACACAGTTAGCCTTAGCCTTAGCCTTAGGCTAGTTGCATCGACATCGTTATTTCAAATTGCATTTAATATAAAACCGCCGCACGGACTACTCGCAAGTCGTAATAAACAGATAATTGAGACTATTAGTAATGTATTACTAAACAATTTTACTAAGCGCTTACCAAATCAACCTTTAGTTATATCTCTGACAAACATACGAAGGCTATTTAAATTTAGCGCTTCGCTGATAGGCCAGTTTCCGTAATCACTATACGTTGATTGGTTACTTTTATTGACAGCACCACCTCGCGGCGTTTAAAGCACATATATACAGTGGATGACGACCTCTGGGAACCACAACAATCAGAAAGGAAGATGACAAGTTTTTCTATTTGCCGCGTTTGCACTCTTATACTAGTTGTTATTCTGCAAGTTTTGCACGGAAATGCAGAAAGTTTCTATTCGTTTCAGGTGAAAGATATTTTTGAGCAGGATGTAGAGTTAAATAAATTTGATGGAAAGGTAATTCAGTCATCTAAAATATTATGATAACTCCCGATAGTGACGTGAACAGTAAACTTCCTGATCGCCACGTAGCTCTAGTAACTATAGCCCTATACTATAGCCCTATAC